CTCTCTCTCTCTCTCTCTCTCTCTCTCTCTCTCTCTCTCTCTCTCTCTCTCTCTCTCTCTCTCTCTCTCTCTCTCTCTCTCTCTCATCGCATGCAAGTCTGTGTTATTGCGGGCAGCAAAGTGAGTTGAAAGTTAAAACCTATGTGAAGTATGTCAAGAGGGAGTGATGTAGCTTTAGCACACAGGTTTTCAGGCTATATGGCATACGGCCAAGAAAGCAGGAATCTGGTGTGCCCCAACTGGAGAACAAAAAACTGTCAAATTGTGTCAACGAAGAAACAAATTATAAAAAGGGGCCTTTAAAACTGAGCCGACCCCCCCTCAACCCTCCCCCCCCAACAAAACTAGCTTTGCCATCCTAACAGAGCGCATATGTGCTCTGATGGAATACAACACACCCTTCGCTTTTTGTTTAAAGTGCATATGCCTTGCGTTCAGGGGGGTTGCTCTATTCAAATAGAACGCACTCTTATGCCTTGATATGTTCAGGGACGACGGTAGTCTGTAGATTGCACTACCTTCTTCACCCAAATACAACGTACGATAACTATAGCTGTATTTAGACTGAAGGATAACCCAAATACAGCAATAATGACCCTACGTTGTATTCGGGTGAAGAAGGTAGCACAGCTCCTTTTCTTGGGCCTGCCGGTCTTTTTCTCTGTTTTTTTTCGTTTCCCAAGTTTTCTGTTCCCTCCAGCAAATGTTATTACCACCGCTATGACTGAGCGGCATAGCAACTGGACAGAAGAGGAAAGTTGCTACGACTGAATGGCATAGCAACTGGACAGAAGAGGAAAGCTTCAAAATAAGTCCGTCTGTCTGTCTGTCTGTCTGTCTGCCTGTCTGGCTTTCTGGTACTTCCCCCTCAGATTGCAACATGGGGGAGTTTACGGTTAAGGAAGGCTGCTTCTGGCTGCACAAATGAAAAACGGCAATCTTGATTTCGAATTTTTGAATGTGGGAGTTGGTCTGAATTCCTGTATTGGTATTCGTAGTACTTGATCTAATTGCATGATGAACTCATTGATGGTTTACGAAAATCAGCCATTAGTGATTGGGCAAGTGATTGCACAAATCTGATGTCAAAGTTGATTTCACTGTACTTGAGAATCTGATGAAGACGCAGATTGTTGTTAGCGTGGTATAGCATGGGTCCTCAAACACAGTGAGAGGAGCGCTTATATGGTATGCTCGAACGAAGACATCTTTTCAAGTGCACGTGTATGTGTGAGAGAGAGAGAGAGAGAGAGTGTGCATGTGTGTGTGTGAGAGAGAGAATGAGAGAGAGAGAGAGAGAGTGCATGTGTGTGTGTGTGTGTGTGAGAGAGAGAGAGAGAGAAGACAAAGAATTGCACTTGATGAGTGTGTGATTGAGAGAGAGACACACACAGCAACAGAGACACAGAGAGAGAGAGAGAGAGAGAGAGAGAGAGAGAGAGA